GGCTGTGTTACAACCAGCAATGTGCCATGGTGATAAGGTGGGGTCCATAGTTATTGATGTAATGATTAATGCCATTGGGAGGATGATGATATTGCAGTGGTTCGAAGAGGTGCAGACCCTATCGTGGAATGGGATGAAAATGGTTATATGATCGCCGGAGCTTTCCCTACTTTGTTTATGATGGGCGGCGACATGATTCCTTCCGGATCGATTTCACATGATTTGATTGACCACTTGATGCGCTATTACGATGGAAGATTTGAAAACAACGTCACACTTATCGTGACACTCTTCAATCAGCTGCAACGGTATGCTGCGGTGCTAAAAGCAGCCAGGGCTTCAACAACACATTTAGAGACGTTGCGAAAGCTGGGCCAATTAGCAAGTGGTGTCAATTTTAAGAAGTCTCTGCTGGCGGCCAAGTACCATCCTGATTCGCCTGCAGCCAAACGACTGAACGCAAGCTTACTGCGGATATTGCCCGTCGTTGGGGGAACTATTCCATTTTCACCTTTCGAGCGTGCTGGAACACGTCCCAAACTGGCTGCTATGCGTTTTCGTTTTGGACTTCAGCAGTTTTGGATAACTGTAGCACCACCAGAACAGGATGATTTACATTACACCGGATCATGCTTCTCATACAGTTACATGCGTGGAATGATGAGGAGTGTACGTGTGGTCAGTCACAATGCCGGTGGGTGCAGTTACCTAAAAATCTGAAAGGAAGTCCTAGGTTGCGACTTTCCATCTCAAATAAATGCCCTGCTATGGCTGCGTTTATGTTTGAGAGGAAGATGAAGCTTATACAGAAGGCAATTTTGCGATGCCCAGCATCTCAAGACACGAAAAAAAGTCGTAATTATACAGAGCGGTAGTCTGGTGCTTTTGGGACTGTAGCTAGATTTAATGGTGTTGTCGAGCCCCAAATGGATGGACGGTTACACTTGCACATGACCGTTTATGGCTCATCGTTTACACCTGAGATTTTGACGCGTGGGGCTACAAATGAGGAACTACGGTTTTTCATTGCGGAGTAGCTAAATTCAGTCTGTACTAATCACTTGACTCCCGACACGAGAGCGTGGCTAACGGAATGCGGAAACAGAGGTGGCACATTACCGCGTACTTGTGAGGTGACGTTACCGCCGGCCGGAGACAATTTGGCTGCCTTTTATCATGCGGTTGAAAAGTCTATTGTCACGACAAACATTCGCAGTCACTCAAGGACTTGCATAAAAGGCAAGCGTGGAAAATCTCAATGTCGACTCTGCCGTCCTGCGGGGATCCACGACCAAAATACACAGCCACTGCATATCAGCAAGAGCAACAGTGAATACATGGGACGAAGTGCAGAACAGGAAGCAAAGCTGGACGCTGGTTATGATACAGCAAAGGTGAACTTCTGCGCCCACACATTGCCGGTCCGGTTGTATGGGAGCAATTTCGCCCGCCACCGGATGGTATGTTTATTGAAGCAAATATGCTGTTATCAGGCTTAACCGTATCACATTGTAACTCGAGTGTCATGAATGGAGAAGATGCAGGAGACATGGTTGATGAATACCAGCAGAATTATATGACTAAAGATGGTGCGGGTTTGAAAAATGCTGCTGTGGTAATGCAAACGACTTTGGAAGATACACTTAAGTATCCGAGTGTAGCTCCTGATACTTGGCGACAAGAACGGTAAATGCTTTGGGGGGAGCGCACGAGTGGCCACTATCTCTTATGGTGTATGCTTTACTTGGTCACAAATCGTACGTATCGTCCGAATCGTTCTGGTATATCTTTCCGCATGGGTTCATTGATGAGTTTCGGAAGTCAGAGCATGGCAGTGTTGCTGATCATACCAGAGATACTCGTGGGGAGTGATTCGTCTACGGATTGTGATGATGACAGCAGTATTGATGAAAATTTCGGATGCATTTATGGACTTCGGAGAAGGGGTCGATGCAACCACCCCCATAACCGAAGCTCTTGAAGAACTAGCAACCATTGCCCATTCCGAAAATTGGTCCGAGATTAGCCTTGGGTTGAACGAGCGGCACACAACAGGTGGAGCATGCGGTTATAAGATCGATGGGAAGCTTACTTTTGTTACTCAAGTGGAGTCATATAAATTCCGTGGGATTCACTTTGTGGACTATTCGCCAACAGAATTTGCATGCATCGTTGACATTATACCTCGTCAAAACGCCACAGGAGAGACGTCTTTACGCGGCCGTAAACGTCGTTATACCTTTGATTTGGATCCTAAACACCCACTTTACTCACATACGAAACTGTGATACGAGCGACGATATTAACACCGATTTTTAAAGGACGGTCTCCTCCGCCAGTTTCTCGTAAAGCAAACGGTCGATACAAAATGGATGAACTTACCAGATACATTATCGCGGTTACGGTGCCTTGGAACGATAACCAAAGGCCCCAATTTGATCTAAATACGTCTGGATTAGCACGCTTGTATGCATTATGGGATGATTCTTCCGCCACTTTTCTTATGCGGCAGAGATATCGTCAAGCGCATAACTTTATTTGGAAAAGAGTTCGAAGCAGTGATATCGAAAAAAAATGTATCTGGAATGGAGGGCTAGGAACGCTACTCGGCGGAAAAACCGTCATTCAGATGATCTCAACGCGGGCCAAAACTCTCGCTGTCGGAGCAATGTGTCTGATCTGGAGGCAGATGGACTTCTCCCTGATGAGGATGATTATATGTATTGGTTAACGAGAGCTGCGGCTTTAGGAAATCCCACTCATCGAGAAAGCATTGAAGCGTTACAATCTATGTTTTGCTCCTTAATGAGCATTGACGAAAGTGGAGAAGAGAACGCTGGTGCTGGAAATGGAGCAATGTCTGTGTCATGATTGCGGAAGTGCGTGTACCGAGATGAAGCACTCGTACACCCTCAAATAAGCTTACAAATGATCACACAACGGATCCAGAAAATGCCGTTACATAATCAAGGCTTGCGTCCAAATACTGGTGATTCATTTTGGCAAGCTGAAACAGGTGGAATCACGGACCCACTGATAAATTCTGTACCACTAAGGACTGAAGACCTACCGACACCGACACCTGAGCAGCAAGGAATCATTGATTGGATCTTAACTAACTTGGACAAACCAAAGCCTGAACAAACCCTTACACTGATGCATGGAGGAGCAGGTGCTGCGAAATCGTTTGTTATTCACAGGCTTCAAAAAGAACTGCTTAAACGAGGACTGAAGACCGTGATAACTTTTCCGACTGGAGCTGCAAGCCTATTTCCAGGTGGTCAAACTTGTCACGCTGCTTTCAAAGTGGGTCGCGAACGAGACCATATTTCTGCAGCAAAACTGGCTGAACTCCGTCTCGTATTCGATAAATCTGTGGGCTTTGTTGTAACAGATGAAGTATCAATGCTTGATGGTTAATTTTCAGTAAAGATGGACAAACGATTACGGCTAGTGTACAATCCTGATCTTCCGTTTGGGGGTAAATCAGTGCTATGGATGCGTCTCGGTATATTTGGACATTTTAATCGAGTTACCTGGTTGTGCTAACACGCTTAATGATTTAAAGGCTGGAGATTTTTTGCAATTAGAGTTTCTCATGGGAACGCCATTGTGCAAAGCGATGTACAAGCTGAACGCGAGTGCCGACATAATTCACCCACGAGACCTTTTTAGGCGCTTTCGTGTGTTTTTCCTGAAGTCTCAACAACGAGCGCACGACTGTCCTACTCAGCAACGCATACTGGACCGGTTTCGGGAACTACCACCAACATATCCTGGAAGCCCAAACTCTGGCCAGGATTTTGAGCTCCTCAATGATTTAGTAGTTGATGCTGTCACGAATGAATGGATGAAACCACTGTGTTGGTTACTAGTAACGTTGACAAAGCGGCTTTAACAGCATGTGCTGCTCGCTTACTTGCTCTCCAGGCGCCCATGCAGGTCAGAGACCTCTCGCTGCAACCGATCAAGGCGTTCCTCAAATCGAGCGAGAACGCCCTGGTTCCCGGCCTGGGCAGCAGCATCACCGCCAGTCCCAAGGCCTAGTGCAATCTCAAG